TCCAAAGTTGACAGCACAGCTAAAGTTTCCAAAAATTCAAATTATATAAGTGTATATATATATATATATATATATTATAATATATACATATATTATATATTTATATTTATATTTATATAAAAAGACTAATAATGGGAGTATGTTATGCATCAATAGCAGCAACAGCTTTTCCAGGTTCTGCAGTCATTTGAACAAAATTGTAGAGACATCCAGCACTCTCCATTAAAAAAAAAAGTAAAAAACAAAATCCCAGAAAACAGCACAGTTCTGTTACCCTTGTAGTACCTGGCGCCATTTTTTTTTTTTTTAATTAGCTTCTCAAGCATCATCTGGAAGGAAACCATTCTGAGCAACATCATTAAAACAGCACTGATAAAGCAGGTCACTACTATGTATCATAAAGCAGGTCCACATATGAGTGAGTACATATCATGTTTGTCTTTTTGTGATTGGGTTACCTCTCTCAGAATGGTTTCTTCGAGTTCCATCCATTTTCCTGCAAATTTCAAGATTCCATTGTTTTTTTCTGCTGAGTAGTAATCCATTGTGTAAAAGTGTATTTTAATTACAACATTTCATCCTTCCCTTTCTTCCCTCCAAACCCCACATATATGCCTCCCCACTCTCCTTCAAAATCAGACCACTTTTTCATCAATTGTTATTGCATGCATATCTGTATTTATATATACATATATGTTTCTAAATATAACCTGTTTGAATCCATGTAATGTTACTTATTTGTATGTTTTCAGAGCTGACTTTTTGGCACTGAACAATCAGCTCTTACTTGGTGTGTTCTTCCCTAGGGAGGGCTGCCTCTCCTGACCCAAGCTTTAAGTTCTTTGTGTAGGGTTGAGACCTCATAGGCTTTTCCCCGTGCAGTTTCCTTGTTTAGCTCATGTTTGGGCAGTTATGTTGGTGAGACTTCATGGGTGTAGCTTCTGATGTTGCTTAGCAGATACAATGTCAAGCAAATTTCCTGAAGCTCTGGCTCTTACCCACTCTCTCTCTGCCTCCTCTTCTGCAATATTCCCTAAGTGTTAGGTAGGTGGGTGTTCTGTAGCTCCTTTGGGGCTGGGCTCCACAACTGTGCATTTTGATTGGTTTTGATTTTCTGTAGTGGTCTCTGTTGTAAAGAAAGGTTCCCTTGATGAGGGGTGAGGTGACATCCGTGGATATAAGGACAGATGTTTATACACACACACACACACACACACACACACACACACACACAAAGACACACTCATGCAACCAGAATTAAACTGAGTGGGTCACACACAGAGAAAGACATCACAGGAGAAGTGGTCTTGTTGAGAGGAAGGTTTCTGGAGGTTAGGGTGAAAGTGACTAGGAAACTGTAATATATGTATGTATGTATATCAGAATATCAAAAAAGGTATTTATGAGACTTCATGTGGAGATATTAACGTGCAGTTAAATATTCCCTTTTGGAATCCAGAAAAGATATGAGTTGGAAAAAAGGTATTTTAGAATTACCAGCTTATTTTATATTATTTGAAACATAGGAATGAATAGAATAATTTTACTACTATGAGTGAAGTAACTCAAAAAGTTGAAGGACTCAAAAGGTGACAGAAGAAACCTTCACATGAAACCAAGGAAGGTCAGGCTCTCAGAACACCAGGAACATGTATGTAATGGAAACAGAGAGATAATGTTTCTGGTAAGAATGAATGTCAGAAATGTCATTTTTTTGTAGGCCTCTAAGAAGCCTAATAGAATTCTGGTGAATGTTCCAGGGAAAGTGTGTGTGTGTTCTTATTTAATAAAGTATCTTTAAAAATATTCTGATATGGTAATTTTTCTTCTTTATTTATAGGGCTATGAAGACTGGTTGCGCCATAACTCAGATAATGAAGTAAATGGAGCTCCTGTTTATGTTGTTAGAAGTGGTGGACTTGTAAAGACTAGATCAAAAAACATTCGTGTATGTATATAGAAAATCATATAAAATTGTATTTTGGATTCATAGTTTTAGTCTTGATTTTCTATATGTATTTTATATATATTATAAAATCCCTTGTGTGTATTGTGTGTTCTTGACCATGTGTGTGCTTCACATGCTTGAGCCCCTGAGTTTATATACATTGCAAAAAAATACATACAAAGTAAAATATATTGTGATAAGCTACCTGTCTAGAACAGGATGAAAACAAATTCTTGCCTTTTAAAGTGTATATAATCACTTTTCTCCTATTTTCTTGTAGGTGGGTGATATTGTTCGTATAGCCAAAGATGAAATTTTTCCTGCAGATTTGGTGCTTCTGTCCTCAGATCGACTTGATGGTTCATGTCATGTTACAACTGCTAGTTTGGATGGAGAGACGAACCTGAAGGTTTGTTCATGTGTATGTTCTTGATGCTTATAAGGCTTCATGTTTATATTATTTTCCTGTTGGTGATGTTATAAAGTTTGTTGTGATAAAGTGGTTTTGTTTTTGTTTTTATTGGTTGTATTATTTTTCTTTAATTTTAATTTCATTTTACAGTCCAACCACAGTTACCCTTTGCATCCCTCCTCCTGCCCCACCTTGCCTCCCTCCCTGCTCACCCCCATCCACTCCTCCTCATGGGTAAGGGGTCCCATGAGAGTCAACAAAGTCTGCCATATTAAGTTAGGGCAGGACCAAGCCCCTCCCCCTGCATTAAGGCTGAGCATGGCATCCCACCCTAGGGAAGGGGTTCCCACAAGCTAGCTTATGCACCAGGGATAGATCCTGGTCCTACTGCCAGCGGCCCCTCAGATAGACCACGCTATACAACTGTCTCCCACATGCAGAGGGCCCATGGAGGCTCCACGGCTGTCAGTCTAGAGTTCATGAGTTCTCACGAGCTCGGTTCAGCCTTTGTTTTTTCACACACCTTTGGGAAGAAACTGGTTTATAAGGCAGCTGAACAACTCTGCCTGGGCCAGAAAGAAAACGATAGTCTGGCCAACAACAGGCAACAAATCCAGACCCTCCGGAACTCCAGCAAGGGGTTCACAGACATAGTGCCTCAGAATTATGCGTTAGGGATCCTACCAGCCAAAACCTCAGAGCTGTCACAGGCCATTTTAGCTTTTGGACAAATGTATGGAGTTCTTTCACAGCTCATGGTCTGGCCTGCCTTCCAGTTTTTTTCTTCACCCATGTTGATCCATTTGTATTTTGTATGAAATTGTCCGGCTTTTCAACATTTCAGACTCTCCCACAGAGTGGAACATATACTTTATTACATGTGTTCATCCTCCATAAAATCAGCCCCCTCCCCATTTCAGGACCATAGCAGTTATCTCCCATGTCTTCATCATCTGTACTGCTAACAGCCACCTCCACTTTCATTGTGTTGACTGCTTAGCCCTGAAGAAAGACACCAACTGTTCTCTCTACTGCTGTATTCTCACTCAGCACTCTATGCTTTTGCATCTGGCATAGATGTGTATGGTTTCCCCCAGACAAGCTGGTTTCCAGCAGGCATTTGTCTGGCATCTACAGTGCAGCTCAAGTCTCAGGCTGCCAACATGGTGATTGTGTCAAACACTACAGGTTAGAGACCTTTGTCCCAAGTAGCATCCCCTCTCCATTGTAGAGGCCTGCCCTGCTGCAACTCAGACTATGATGAGGCTTCTAACTGAGCTGCTGTACAGCAGGGTTCACACCACGCTACCTCCCAGGGTGAGGTCATTTGAGAGCACTCAAAACTCAAGGGCATTTTACTGTTCCAAAGTACTTTCTGAAGAACACAAATAAACAACCAGATGTAGAGACTCAGGTGGTCAGTTTTCACTTGATACAATCTATACTCACCTGAGGAGTCTCAAGGAAGGATTGCCTGGATCGGGATGGCAGGTGGGCATGTCCATGGGAGACCGTCTTGAGGTGGAAAGATCAGCCCACTGTGGGCAACACCATTCCCTAGACAGAGCTTCCTAGACTGTACAGGAGTGGATAACATGACCAGCGGTAAGCATGCATGCATTCATTTCTCTCTGCTCTTGACACTTCAAGTTCTTGCCTTGACTTCTCTGTAGGGATGGACTGTGGCTAAGAAACATAAGGTGAATAGATACTTTTTCCTTCAAGTTGCTTTTGTGGAGTGTTTTATCACAGCAACTGGAGAGGGAAAGAACAGGAACTTCTGCCCCAACAGAGCTGGTATATTCTATCTCTTGGCACATGTGTTAGTTGCTGTTACTATGTAACAAATATATCCTAGGGATAAGCAATTTACAAATAGCACTTTTAATTCTGGCTCACAGTCTTGGAGGTCTCCATCTGTGATCAGTTCTACCCATTGCTTTAGTGGTGGTGAGATGGCACAACACCCCGGAACACATGGACAACAGAGCTGCTCGCTTCACCACCTCACAGCTGGGATGCAAAAGCAAGAGAGGAAGAGGGAGGGACTTGCCTCCCCCGATCCCCCTTGAGTACAGGACTACCAGTGACATAAAGACCTCCCACTAGGCCCCACCTCTCTCGGATTCCACCATCACCTCGAACAGCACACTGGGGCCTTTGGAGGACAGGTGAAATCTACAGGGAGCAATGAGAGTGGCAGTCAGTGCTGGGGGGGGCAGAAGACTCCACCTTGTAAGACATGGGTGGGCCCCCTGAGGACCAACCCCATCTTAAGGCTGTATAGGTGTTAGCCCATTAGCATACAGACAGACATTCCTGGGTTTTAGTATACCAGGCAATAACACTAAAATGTCTCTGTGTCAAAGTGTCTGGGGTTTCAAGATCTTAGCTTGTGAAATCTCTTCTGTCTGTTTCTTGCCTCTCACATTGATCTATGGCCATATTTTTCTTTAATCACACCTCCTGAATAACTTGTTCCATGCTCTGCAACACAGCGCTAACACTGCCTGCTGCTGTCTTGGTGTCACGCTACACAGGTTAGGGTTCAAGCCTCCTGAAGGCTGCCCATGCCTCGTATCCTGGCTGCTGGCTCTCAGAACCCATGTGGTTCTGACCAGTGAGCTGTGATCTCAGAGTCTCCCACACTCCCTCGGGGCCTATCTTTGTTAGAATATCACCAAAGCCTGGGTTCTAGTTTGATTCTCTGTCAGTGTGTGTCTTATTTTCTATTGCTGTGAAGAGACACTAAGACCAAAGAAACTTACAGAAGAAAGTATTTAATTGGGGGCTTTCTTAGTTTCAGAGGGTGAGTTCATGATCATTGGGGGCTATCAGCAAGGAGTATGGCAGCAGGCAGGCAGGCTTGGCATTGGAGAAGTAGCCTAGAGCCCGTATCTGATCTGCAATCACTAGACAGGGAAAAACAGTGTAAAATGAAACCTCAAAGCCCACCCCAAGTGACAATCCTCCTGGAACAAGGTCACACCTCCTAATCCTTTCCAAATAGTTCTGCCCACTATGAACCAAGCATTCAAACATATGAGCCTATGGGGTCATTCTCATTCAAACAACCATGCTGTGATAAAACACTGACCAAAAGGAACTTGGGGAGGAAAGGGCTTATTTCAGCTCATGTGTTACTACAGTTTACTATCAAAGAAAACCAAGGCAGGAACTTAAGGCAGGAACCTAGAGTTAAGAACTGAGGCAGAGGCCATTGAGTAACTTGCTCAGTCTGCTTTCTTTCTTTCTTTCTTTTTTCTTTTTAGATTTTATTTATTATGTATACAACATTCTGCTTCCATGTATATCTGCACACCAGAAGAGGGCACCAGATCTCATAATGGATGGTTGTAAACCACCATGTGGTTGCTGGGAATTGAACTCAGGACCTCTGGAAGAGCAGCCAGTGATCTTAACCTCTGAGCTATCTCTCTAGCCCTCAGTCTGCTTTCTAATACAGCCTAGAGCCACATGGGATGTGAGGGGGGGCACTTCCCACCGTAGACTGGGCCCTCCCACATTAATCATTAATCAAGGAAAATAACCCCACAGATTTTACCTCTAAGCCAATCTGATGGAGGCAATTCCACAACCGAGGTTCCCTGCTTCCAGGTGTGTCTAGGTTTGTGTCAAATTGACAAAAACTATGACATTAGATCTGATCTTCCCACTAGTATCTTACTACAGTAGCCACAGATCAGGACCAAGTGAATGGAGAGACACAGAGGGCACCTTGGTGGGGCAGGGGGTGTGGAAAACAGCCTCATAGAACCTGGCACACCATCTGTTACATTAGTCACTTCTTGCTCAGATAAAACATGTGACAATATCTGTTTAAGGTACGCGGGGCTCATTTTGGCTCACAGCTTGAGGATATGGTCCATCATGGCAGGGACGGTGTGGTGGCAGGGATGTGAGGCAGTTGGTCACACTGTGTCCACAGTCAGGAAGCAGAGAGAGGAATGCTCCTTTTTATTCAGAGTGGGACTGCACATCATGGGGCCCCGTGTCTGGGATGTGTCTTCCCACTTCAACCCAAACTGAACACTTTCTCACAGATTTGCCCAGAGACCTGTCTCTTAGGTGAGTCTAGACCCTGTCAAGCTGGCAAGAATATAAACCATCACACCTGCCAATCAGGAAGTCCCGAGGCATCTCAGCACCCTAGTTTCTGTGATGTCTCCTCTCTTTGGTCACAGGACTAGACTCACTTCTGAGAGGTTAGACAGCTCAGGGTTCCACCCGCTAATCCTGTGCTGGCCTCTCTAAGGATGGCTGCTACCCTGAAGCCAAGAGGCTGTCACCAGGAGGCACCCAATTAATTTAACAAACACTCCTGTCACTCAAGAAATTCCAAGGGTTTTTGAAGCCTGAAATCAGAGAGAAAGACCAGGTGTGTTCTTCATTATACCACAACTGTACTCCTCCTCCCAAGCAGCTCATTCGTTTATCATTAACGAGTTCATATCTCCATGCATGGTCTAGGCATTGGGGATATTCCTGTGAACAGAACCAGGAGAACCCTGTTTTCAGGGAACTCATGGTCTCATGTAGGATGTGGGGGAGACAGAGGCCAAACAAGAAATACAAGTGCAAACGAGAGCATGCCACAGTGACCACTGGGGAGAGTAGGCAAAACAGGTGAATCCTGGGAGAGATAGTCCCCTCTCAGCATCCTTTAGAAAGACCAGGAAACTCTGAGATGAAGTAGGGGTCAGGAGAGGCAGTGTGCTGCTTGCTGTAGGAGCCTTTCTGACCAAACTGCCACAATCAGGACAGTAAGATGGCTCAGTGGGTAGCAGAGCATGCTTGAGCATGGGCCCCAGATCCCAGCATGTACATTCCGTGGCACACTGCATACCACCCCCCTCTAGCAATAAACATCATAGGAATGAACTGTCAGATGAGAGGGCAGTGTGTAAGAAGCCAGCTGTGGATGGAGGGCGGCGAGGACAAAGGGAACAATGTCACTCACTTGAGCAAAAGGCTCAAAAGAAAAGCTTCGCCAGTGGCACCCAGGTATTTATAGC